AGGTCAAATTTGCTATGAAGAAGGAGCATCACTTCACTGTAAAACTAAAATAGGATTGCTTCATTTTTAATTTGTTATTTTGTATAAAGAAGAGATGGAAGGAACATTGGGAAAACATAGGAAGATTACAAAAGGAAGGGTATAAAATTCCACGAATGAAAGCAAAAGACTGCAAAATAAAACCCTCACAGGAAAACACCTCCAGTTTTAAACCTGAACTTTTTAATAGTGCATCTGGATAGTGGAAAATCTTAACTTTGTCCTAAAACATCTCTGTTTATTCCAGGGGAGGAAATTAAATATTTTTATACTCATTTCTTTGTTTGGATGTAATAGTTTCGTGGATGGTATCTAGTTGTCTCTGTTTCCCTGTGGAATGGACACTGCGAGCTGCCTTCCTCATGCACGCTAACTCTGCTCCGGTGTTGCCGGGTGGAGCAATCCTGCATGGGGAAGCCCCACTGTGTGAACACAGAGCTTTCCCCTGCAGCACTTGTACTTCTAATATATTCTGTCTTTGTTTAATAAATTATTGGTTGAGTGATCACATGGAGCCAAAAAATGAGTAAATGATCTGAGTTATTGGATGTCTATGTGTAAAATTTAATATTCATTACAAATCCTGGAATCTGACTTCTAAAGTAGTGTTTGCTTTACTACATATTTCTTAGTATTCATAGAGTTTTTTAATGCAATGAAGTACCCTTGAAGATCTGCAATATTTTCTCTGGTACTTTAAAATTAAGAAGATTCCTGAAAGACATAACTTATATGATTAGACCTGGAAAGACATGGGTTGAATTGTTCATACTTTCTGATATAAACTTTTACACACATCAAGAGTTGTCTGTAGTAGAATAAAGTCATTTAGTGGTCCAACTGTTAAATCAAAAATGGGCCTTATTCAATTTAAGCACAAAACTATAACATTTTTATATGAACCTGTGTAAGAATTCCAACTCCCTTGACATAATTAATTTAGTAACAAAAATCTATTTAGAAATATACAACCATGTCCCCAAGGGAAAGTCCTGTATACTCATCATGTTAGACCTGCAAAAGAAAGTTGCAGCATTTCCCCACTCTTAAGGGGAACTATCTTGTTTTTCCAGACAGTTTTGTGGTGGTCTTGCTTGTCAAGGTTAGAGGCTTTCTGGAAGGTAGGAGACAAAAATGCAGAGTATTTCTAGACTGCATTTGGTTTTGTTGCAGAATTGAGTTCCAAGCATTGCCCAAGGAGAACTTTTTCCTCATGTTTCTGCTACATAACCTCTAAGTGACCCTGTTGTATAGTGGATTAGGACAATTATATAAGAAGAAATTGTGTTTCTTTTGCTTTTTAATTACATGTCCTGGCTTTAAATTCACTGAAAGTCCTTGCTATACAAAGAAGAGAAACTAGAGGATTGTGATGTTGTCTAAAGAGCATGCAAACAATTGTGAGAAGGGAGTGAGAAATGCCTCCCTGGTGTGTTTCTTTACTGTACTAGAGAACTCAGGTTTCAGGCCAGCTGCCACGATGCTTCCTGACAGAGAGGTGCTACCAGTCAAAAGGCATTATGCAGCTATTCTCTCTTCCTCCCCATTTATTTATTAAATACATTTTATTCTGCCCAGTAGCCTGAGGGCTCTCCCTAATCAATATTGAGAAAAAAGGTGGAAGAAGTAGTAGGAAGGCACTGAGGCAGGGTAAATGAAAAATAAAGCCTCATCTGGAAGCACCCCCAGTTCCAAGCTTGATAATTATATAAATGTATGGGGGGGGGGTGCATCTGGAGAAGAATCTGTATATTTCAGAGTGGCAGGAATTTTACATCTCATGGCACTCATCCTCCCTTCTCAAAGAAGAGCACCAATCCCAACCCTACTTTTTAAGGTAATGCTGTTAAGAGATTTGAATAGGTCACATTATTCCTCTGTTCATCTTCAGTTTGCATTTATCCGTGTCCAAGCAGCCCCGGCCCTTTATCTTCTGCTTCATTCTTCATTTCATTTCTTTAACACCTACCAGCTAAATGGTACTTTACAGCTGCACATGAAATAGTAATATGATGCAAAGGTACAGATAACAGTAAAAACATCAAAGTGAAACTACAAAATTTAAGTTTAAAACTGAGCTTAAACAGCTATAATAGCTAACAAATTATTTCAGTTGTCTTGACATGTCTCATAATTTAATGTCCTAGTATACTATTTAGAGCTGATAAAATGCTGTGTCATAGGGTTCAGTCTTAGCCTGGTGTTGGAACAAAAAAAATTAGCATTGGCTGGGCCTCGATGGGGAGTTTGTTTCATACTTGGAGGAGTGTGCTATTAAGAAGGTCCTTGCCTATGTTGTCACCAACAGAGCCTCCCTCAGTGATGGCATTTGGAGGCAGGATCAAGATTCTGATCATAGAGTCTGGTTGGATTGCAGCTGAGAGAAGTGTTCCATCAAGTTTTGTGGCCCCAAGCCATGTAAGGCTTTACAGGTTAAAGCCAACCACTATTATTGGACTCAGGAGCATATAGGCAGCCAATACAAGTGGACCCGCCAGAACTGCTGTTATTTGTTTGGATCTTCTGATTCCAATTGAACTGCCCTATTAAAGGTACAATTATAGCTTCTGAACTGTCATTGAGGGCAGATCCATGTAGAGTACCTTGCCATAATCTGGTTTAGAGATTACCAGAGCATAAATCACTGAAACAAAGCTATCCTGGTGGGGGCACAGCTGAGACAGCAGCTGAAGCTGGTAGGAGGCACTGTGTGCCACTGAGGCCACCTAAGCCTCAAGTGGCAAAGATGGATCAAGGAGCCACTCACAAACTATAAACCTGCTCCTTTGAGAAGTGCATGCCTATCCAGAACAGGTTAAGCACCCTTCATCTAATCAGAAGAACCACTCGACAATAGCATTTCAGTTCTTTCTGGAGAGTTTGTTGGTCCTTAACTCATTATCATAGTCAGGTACCCTTTTAGCACGTATCTTGTGGTTCCACAACTGAAAATAAAAAGAGAAATAGAGCTGTGGGCCATTAGCATATATTCCATACTGGCCATTTATGGGTCACTGTTTAAGATGTTCCTTCTAGGACAACCTTGAATTTGTAGAAACTGCTTATATCTGGCTACCCTGCCCTCCCATTCCCACGCCAAAGTTATAAGCACAAGTTTGTTAGAGGGAACCATTTCAGTCCCATCATTCCCAGCTTAGACATGGATTGACCATATAGACTTAGACTTGACCTACTTTGTGAGATATAGCCCTTCACTTGTAGAATGGGGACTGCATTGACTGTCAGGTCCCTGAAAGGAGCAGAGCAGCTGGTAGAGAAGTGATTTCCCTGATTTGTCTTTGGGTTTCCTCTGGTCTGTATTCTTCTTGGCTTTTTGTCTAGTGTTGCAGGTTTCATTTCTTTTTTGGTTCTTTTTTGCTGTCCCAATTTACTGATAGACAAAAGTTAATAAATACACTTGAAACACAGCACAAAAAAGAGCCTTGATGGCGTTGTGAGGATCACTCCAAGGGCGGTTTCTGCTTTGCTTTTTTCCAACATACACAAGTACTATTGAATTGGAGTGTCTATTCATATATACACAATCCCTTTTCAGCCGTGGTTGGGAAGCTGTGGCCATTCAAATTCTACTGTGACTCCATAAGTCCAGTTAGCACAGGTAGTTGTGAGGTATAACAAGATCCATAGGCTAAAATATATAGAATTCCACTAGTTGTCCACCCTGCTGTACTGGCAACTAGGCCAATCTATAGGGACAGTCACAAGAGGAGATGAAGGAAGTTGGGGGTTCACCCATGATGGAATGTCACTTCCCTCAAAAAGGTATGAGGACAACATGTTGACAAGTATAAAGTTCTTTGACATTAGACTTTTTATATAGATAATGACAAGTCCTTTTGAGTAGAAATACTTTGTCATGTACATTTAAACTGCTATGGAATCTTCTAGCTCAATTTTGCAGCTTTTCTGTACTTTTTGGATTTATCTGTTGGACTTCATTTGATTGTAACTTATTGCCTGTAATTATTTTGATATTAATTTTTACAAGAGACAGAGAAGTGGGAGAACAGGGACCCCTACACTGGCACAGCTGTGAGACCAGCTGCTTTTTGGCTCCTTTTCTCCCTGAACTGTCTCTGTTCCAGCTGGTATTTTAAGAACAATTATTCAACTTTAAGAATTGGTTCTTCATTTTGATTTCCCCATCTCCGCCTCTTTCCTTCCCATCTTGTTTGCTCTTTCTCTATTAGATTATGAGTCAGCAAGTAGGGATTTTTTTCACATTTCCACATAGAAGAAAAATATTTCTGTTAGTCTGAAAGCAGCCAGTGTGATACATTTAAAAAAAAAAAAAAAAGCTTCCCTGTTCAAAATGAGTCACAATATATTTTCTCACGCAGTTATTCATAACAGGTTCTAGCAGTGACCTTTGTAACTGGTACCGCAATATGGTAATCATTTGGTAAAATGCGATACTGGATTTATTCATACTTGTTTTTTGGTTTCCTATCTAGTTTGGTTCAATAGATATTAATCTGATTATGTTGATTCTTAATTGAAAACTGTTTAATATCTATGGAAAATGTATGTGACCAAAGAAGGTTCCTCAGTATAAAAAAGACTGGTTTTCCAACTTCAGTGCCTTTTTTGTGTTAGAAAGGTGTGGTATAAATCAAATGAATAATTTTAGGCAAGATCTTTGACTTAATATAGATATTTTCTCATGGACAATGGCTTTCAAGTTATCTGTGCTGCTTATGTAATTATGTATATGTATATATATTAGCCAATAAATAGGCCAATGACCTGTAATATAGACCAATATTTGGCTCAATTTTGTCAGCCTGTTTTGGGGACTGGATCGTAGTTGTAGTTATGCTAAATGTTTGATATGGGATGGGTTTTTTAAGTGTCTATTAATCATGCCAGCAAAATATGTGAGTGACAATGAAGACTGATGAAGAGGTGGCTCTAAAACTTATTTATTTTATTTTATTTAGATTTTCATACTCAACTTTCTGAGACATTGAAAGACAGACAGACTGGCTGGCAGCAGCTGGCTGAAACAAAGAACTCTCTAATACGTAAGGTTTTCATCTTGCTTCACCCTGTGTTCCCTATAAGTCTATTTCACAGCATTGCTTGCTGTGTGCTTCCAGCTGTGATTAGTTGACCTAAATTTATATAATGTTCATTATTTATTGTGGTTGTGTGCGTGTTTCTTGTTTGTTAGTCAGTGTTTTCTGTTTAAATGATCAGTTTCTTCTTTAAACGCTTTGGTTTATAGATTGGATGGAGAGCAAATTGACAAGATCAGTGTTCAAAATGTGGAAGACAGAGGAACTGCTGTTAACATGTAGACATTTTCAAATGGTTTCAATTGAAACACAAGATCTGTCATTTTTATTATCTTAAATAATACAGTCACAGGATCTGTTGCCTGTCCTTTGATGTTCAAAGGACAAAGGTTGCTTATTGTACATGCCCAGAATTTGCACTTTTAAATCCAAGAATACTTCCAGCATAATATGCTCCTCCCATGGCTAACCTTCTGGCCTTCATATTTTAAAAGGATATACATAAGAATTTTTACCAAATAACCATATTGTTTTTGCAAGAAAGCTACCAGGATCTGGTATACATCTTGTCCAACTCAGAACATTTCTGAGCTATATATTCAGAGCTTCAGTCCAGGTATTATTGCTGGTAACATATACTTTTGTGGATATATTCCAAAGGCATCTTGGAAATGGCCTGAGAGTGAAAAATATTTTAAATGAATTACAAAATGACAAAAGTGTCAAAATAATAAAGTGTCAGAGTTGACTTTGGCTGTGCCTTACCTTTCATTCTGAAAAGCAGAATTTGGTTGCCAGTTAATGACATTCGTGTGTATGTGTTTTAGTTGGAAAGGATGTCTATACGTCTGTGGGCACATGTGCATATTAGAGTCCTGCCTGTTTCTAGTTTTCACTTGTATGTAGCTGCTTACAAGCAAAATTCATGATTTGGAAGTCTGAGCAACTGTTTTAAAGATACTGCTTTGTAATCAGGATTGGGTTCTCAAGTACCAAAGATACATGATGTGTCTTCAACTTGGCGAGCATAGCTCTCTTCCTCTTGCACTGTCCTGTCACTATAGCATAATGGGCCAGGCATACTTGCCATTTACGAACAGCTTGATGCTTGGAAGCAGGTTCATGTCCAGGCCATATTCACACTACAGGATGATTGTATGAACCAGCATATCCTCACAGGGATGGTATACCCTGTAATTGATTTGATTCTAGTGGCTTGTACAAGTGTTGCTGAAATTGCAACAGCCACAAATATAACTCCAGCATGATTCACACACAAGTTCCTTGTGAGTGTGGCCCAGGCACAAGTATGCAGCACACTTTCGCATCCCCCAGCCGCTCATATGCAGTCTGTCAGTCAATATGAACCAGGTTCGTTTCGTATCTTAATTCCTGTAATTTATCAGTGTGGAAGGACTTCTTAAATCAAAGATGTAAAAAACCGTGAGGGATACTTGAGAATTCTCTATCCAACAGTTGACAGATTTAAGCAGCTCTGGAAGCTCTCCAGATTAAGATTCCTGAAAGGCAGAAAAATCCTGTGGCCAGCAGGCAATGTTTAGACAGCTCGAAGACTTTTTGGATTCCCAGCTCTCAGGTCAGAAACTCTCTCCAACCCTGCAGATGGGGATCGACTCCTGGATTCCCTCCCAACACACACACACACACGCACGCACATACACATGCATGGGGACAAATACACACATACACTCACTCAACTGGCATGGAAAGAACTGCATCAGTTGCTTCGGTGAAGTCAGAAAATGAACTTGGAGAAAGGTCTTTGGGGCAGAGAAGGGAGAAGACTGGCACCACAAAGACATGATGCATCTCAGTCTTAGCCTCCTTCCCTCCCACTTTGAAATGCCACATTTTGGTGGCTGAATCAGCAGCTTGAGGCAACCTTCCATGGAATGCCCACAATCTTCTGAGTTCAGAGGGTTTTGGGCATCCCCCATAGGATTGTGCCCTTGTTTTCTTTTTCACAACTGTAGCTGTAAGAAGTTATTTTGATAGGCTAAGCTAATAAAGAATACAAGTGATATGGTAAAATGTTATTGCTTTATCTTCCATTATGCTTGTTCTTGGGAAGCCACCTTTCCTAGGGCTAGTGAGCTAAGATCATGTTATTTGTTCCACCTAAATGCACAGAATTGGTTTCAACCTATTCTGAGTCATAGATAAGCTGCCTGAGATGTCAAGCATGAAACCTGAGGCTATAAGACATGAAAAAATGCATTCTAGCAATAAGCTACAGCTTCTCATAAGAGTCCTTCTGAATCAGCCCAAAGTTTGTTTGTTTGTTTGTTTTTAACCGGCTGCCCACAAGCGCTGTATAAGGGGAATGGACATGGCTTGTGGTTGCTTCCCTGCAGCCGGTAATTCCCAAGCATGTGATCCCTGAATGTTCAGGAATCAGTCAAAATGCAAAGAAGTAGCACATTATCAATCTTTCCTAGATCAAATACCAGCTTGTGTTGACAGGGGAACACTGGCTTTCTGCAGTGCTTCAGAATGCAGGTCAAGAAAGCCTTAGTTGAATGTTCTCTCATGTGACACCTCCACTGCTTTTACAAGCATAGAAAAAAAGCTTTCTAAATTGTCTCCTTCCTAATGTGCAGTTATGTAATTGCACAAGAGAATTTTCAACTATTATATTGCACTGGACCCTGAAAGTGTACAATCCCCCAAAACTCTACCACTTCACAAAGACTGTAGCATTTGAACAGTTAAATAGTCTCTAAGTCATGGGTGGGGAACCATTTTAGTCTCAGGTCTGAATTCGAATTTGAGAAATGTTTTAGTAACTGAAAGCAGATGGTGCTAAAAGCCTTGCAGGCAGGCTAAAATGTGATGTTTGACCCATGTTAAGGTTATTTAGAAAAAAGGAAGACAAGCCTCTGCATGTTGCCTCAGAGGTAAACAGGACTAAAATGATGACTTTCAAGTCCCGTTCCAAATTCCAAGCTGCTGTATGTCTAGTCACAAGTAAGCAAGACTGAATTACTCAGCAACTTTCTTCCCCATAGAGAAAATATTTTCTCTGATCACCAGTTCGTAGGACATAAAGCCTTTGCATTGCTAACTGCTGAGGAATAGATACTTTTTAATGTTCGGCAAGGAAAACCTCTTACCTCTAATTAGTATTTCCCTGCCAGGAGTGGGGACAGGACTAGAGAAGTAGCTGACAATCACGACTGGGAAGACCTGTTTGAACTTTCAGGTGCACTGAACCCTTGGCAAATCTGTAATAGCAACACTACAGTGTCTGAATGTGTACTTCCCTTGCCTATTGCAGTCTGTTAGGAAGAAATAGATATGTCACCAAAGGATAAGCAGCAATCCCAAACATGCTTCATCCAGCTTATGTCTGTGCTCAGCATCATATTTCTCTATCATTGCTAGGAATAATGTAGTCTTTAAACTTTTGATTCAAATTTGAATAACTGCATTTGCTTTTGTCCTTTTTATTACTTACCAGGGACCCAGATTTCACTGTTTGTTCTGGTTGCTAAGAACTTTCTCAATTACTGGTCTAGTTTGCTCATTGCTCCAATCTAAACAGAAGAGTGAGTGGTCCTATTGCTCTGAAAACAAACTATGAATATTTTGCTAAAGATTTAATTTTTATGCGTGATTATTTTCCCCAACTGACATACATGCATATAAAATGTATTTGTATGGATATTCAATGATAAGCCCTTGACTTATGCTTCTTTAATGATTCATAGGAACCATGTCTACATACATAATTTCATTAATGCAAAAGCTATCTGTTGTACAATGGAGTAACACACTACATATAAAAAGACACAGATGTGGGAATTGGCAGTAGTATCAACTTTTCAGTACAAGCAATTCAGTGAAAGAATTACGACTGAATCATGCATTTGGGTGCTGCCAATAGACAGATGGCACTAGTTTTTGTCATCTGTCTCAGGACACATTCCTGTAACGGCTGCAGTATTTTTCAATAACACATGAGACAACATTAAAAAAAAAGATACACGTTCATTTCAAAGGAGATGAAGGCCTGGATCTTCAGTGGGGCTTCCATGAATAGAAAGGCTTCTTATATTTAGGGAAAGTTTTTGGTGCAGTGAGTAAAGCATCCTGCTGATGAAAGGGGAGGGAGTGATTTAACTGATTTCTGTCTTCCACTGAAGTCTCCCCCAACCAAGTACGCACCATTTTGGAGGATTCTGCAGCCTCTGGAGTAGGCTTTTCAGAAAGCACCTGTGAATTCAAGGGGAAGAATGATTTGGCAAATGTTCATATGATTTCCTCTTAGCAAGAACTCTGCTCAAAGGATTATATTGTTGGCAAGCGCAAACTTAAATGGAAGTCTTCAGCTTCTCACTGCTCTACTGTTTCACTGCATCTTAACTAATCAGGAAGCATTTGAATATATCAGGCTTTGGTAACTTTTTTGATCAATAGGCGTACAAGAAATTTGGAGCAATTGTCCTGGACCACACCAGAAAATGACTTCCAAGGGAGGCATGGCAAAGGATGAGTAACCTGCTGAAAAGACTGAGTATAAAGCAGAGGTGGAGACTGAACGCCAACAAACTAAGTAGCTCCCTCGAACCCACTGTTTTCAGCATCAAGAGAAACCTATTACTGAACAGTGCCAGCTGCTGGTACCATAATGTGCTGCTTAGTAGGGCACCATGGTGAGTGCCAAGAAATGTGCATGGGGGTTCATTGGTGCTCATGGGCACCATATTACCTTCCCCTCTGACATAGATAGCTGGGCAACCCACAACTGGAAAAGCTCCAGCTGGCCTCACCCACTTCTCCTCAGTGCCCAGCTGCTCAAGAGTATCTTGAACAGTAGGGAAAGGCTGCTTTTCAGGTGCTTGTTAGCAGCACCATGACAGTTACCTTGTTTAGAATCATTACGTTTTAAAGGCTTTCACTTTCCTCCTTGGACATTCTCTGCATAGCCAAGATCAGTGTCTTCCTGCTGCTAATAGTGGTAGGGAAAAAGCAGTCTCAGTCAA